GAGGTTACCAAGTGATTTCAGCTCTCCGAAATTATCGAAAATCATTGAAAAATAAAATATTCCATTGATTTTCTGTTCAAATGAAGTGGCAATCAATAAAATACTTGATTTTTCAATTCAATTATTCTGTTAAAATTCAGGAAAAAATTGAAAATTCATGTCATTTTGTTTCTGAATATTCATGTTCTACTGAAAATTCAATCAAGTTGCGAAATTTCTATCTCACTCCTACTGAAAATTCATGAATTTCCGTGAATTCTACTAAAAACTTGAAATTTCATGACCATTTTTTCCCTAAATCCGATTCAATGTCACTCACATGAGATTTACACTCACAGCCTGACCCTTATATTACACTTAAGAGGGCTTGCTACCACCCGACTTGATACAAAACAATCATCTTCGAATTGAAATACCCATCCTCCAATTAAGTACAAAATATACTTGATTCAAGTATACTTTAGACTCAATTCAAGTATATTTTATATTCAATTCAAGCATATTTTTTTCCGTGTAGCAAACACAGCTTTAATTCAAGAATTGTCGAAAGTAAATAGTCCAGCCATGGCCGGTACCTGGCCATTACGTCATGCCTGACTAAAACGTGGTTATCCACTCTGTGGTTACACAGGATCCTGAAACAGATGCAGTGCTCAGTTCAACCTCATACACGCCCATGGCAACTGCATAAATCCCAGTGCATCCATAACGCACCGTCGCGACCGAATTACAGACTTCTCTCAGCGTGCGTCTGCTACTGTAGTATTGTACTACTGCCCATGGGCACGTAACGCACACTGTGGCTTTCTCGAGCGTGTGTAAATACGCATGAATGCCCGTATATATCACTCGGTAATGCCCATGGTACGTTCTCTTCATACACTCGATTCATCAAAATATCCCCTGAACATTCCTCCCTATACAACAGTTTAGAATTTATCGAGTTATATCATTGGATATTATCCCAATTAATCATTGGACCATTAACTGTCCTAACCAGTCAACGATTCCCATGGCTTTTCAAGGGGCTTCAGGTATTTTTACATTTTCATCCTTCTTTGTTGCTTTTTCGAGAAAGATTACGTGATTAATTGGCGTGCGTCATTCCGCTTCGCCGAATCTAAAATTCGGGGAAATTGGATCAATGGTGAGTGGAGTGTGACGTGGGCGGCTTTCGTCGTTCTGCCTTAATCATGTCGCTTCTCGGATATCGCGTACTGGGGTGAGTTTAGGGAAGAATTAATAAATGTCTTCTCAATATCCGAACACCAATTAATAAGTAGATTGGTATGATTAAACGGGACTCGGAACTAATAAGTAATATTAAACCAAACTAATGATGGATTACACTGGGAGAAAGAACAGATTTCTAGGATCAAATCCACTTGCTCGTCCCTTATGTGTGGAAAATTGGACTTTGCTCCGGTCACAACAAAAACGAATGTCTGAATTTCACACACCTTTTGTAGGCAGTTTTCAGACCATAAAAAACGTTTGAATAAAATGAAAATTTATCTGAATTTCAAACATGAATTAAGATATTTAGGCACCTGTTCGTCTGAAATTCAGACAAATTTTTATTTCATTCAGGTAATTTTTAGTGTCTGAAAAATGTCTATAAAAGGTGTATGAAATTCCGACATTCGTTTTTGTTGTGGTCTCTATACAGGAAGAACGTGGCAGTTTATTCCTCTCAACTGTCAATTGTTTTTTATGTTATCTGTTGCCCTATATGATTTCTTTTTGAGATGACGACTAATCCAGCCTTCGATTTTTTCCGAGTAAAAATTCAGTAGCGAAGTGGTAAAAGAGTTTTCATTGCTCAAGCCCAAAAAGGGCTCTTTTACCGACGGTAGTTAAGCATGAGAAGTAGGTCTTTTTACCGTTGAGCAGTATAAAAGTGAGAAATGCACTACTTAGGAGTGAAAAAGTGAGAAATGCACTCCTTAGGACTGAAAAACGTGTGGCGCCACCCAGCGTTAATGTACCAAAATATAAAACTACATATAAAAACTGATAAATTCAGCCAGTGAATCCCCTTCATTATCTTCAAAATTGTTAAATTTTAAATTTGAAAATACACCTGAAAATTAAAATGAAAAATAAATTATTAAAAAATCTTAATTTTGATAATAATAATATTAGAAATATCATTTCATAGAAAATTTTTTATTGAAACTCTGAAATAAACTACAACGTAAACGCAAGAATAATACTCATAGTTTAAATAATAAAATCTAACAAAACAATCAGTTATGCCCATCTATCTCAACTAAGATCTCGAGATTCACTTATTTTCCTTATTTTCTTTATCAAATACTTTAAAATTTGAGCAATTGTAAAAATTGAGATTGATATTTGGATGGGAACGTAGAAGTTGATTCAACTGTAGATTTGGAGCAGGATCTGGTGAGACATCATGAAGTGGAATTGGTGAGATGTCGTTGATCACAGGTTGGGGAATACGATTACAGAGAGATGATGGTGATTTGTTGGCTTCTCTTGGAGTTGTTGTTCCCCGGCTGTGGCGGGGAAATTTAAATGCATTTGATTTTTTTTTTCTTTTGCAATTTGTTTTTTCTTCAGTGGGGGGGGCTTCGGCGGCCTCGTCTCCGACTCACGTGCCTCGTGCGCCTGTACTCCACCAGCGTTGAATTCAGCACTTCTCCGCCTTAGCACGTAATATACTATTAAGTCGACTTATCTCCCAGTTGAGTTTTTGAGGAATATTTCCGAATCTAAGGGATATAGCGAAATTTTAGTAATTACATTTGTTGTAGCATTCCATCAGCTCCACAAAACAGGTTATAACAATAATTTTGCTATCTCCCTTAGTTTCCGAGATATTGATTGAAAACTAGTCAATAGTCAAAATGGACTTATACCGTTTTACTACTTCGCTACTGAATTAAAACCTTTGGATGGAGCTATCCACCAGGTTGTTTAAAATAGGACAATTTATCAAAAATGGGAGGAGGCATTCATTTTTAAAAATGGGAAAAATTGAAGATTTCAATTTTATGCTAGGGGGAAGGTCAAAATAATGGAAAAAAATTATATTAAACTTCTCGATTTATTCACAGAACTGAATAACTAATAATACACAGTGTTTTCTATATTCTACCACTCCATCCTCGGTATATAATCATTTAATAATTACTCTTGACACTAATAGACTTCATGCTTCAGACGCACGCATCGATGTCTCGAGGCGAACAGAATAATGAACGCATCAGATGTATTAACGCGGAAAACGTCAATAAACTATAACATTAATTGAATCAAGAAATATGCACAGCGTAAATGTTGTCTTATGGCCCATTTCTCACATTAGAAACTGTCTTGTCCAAATATATCCCAAAGTCCTCTACCCGGGGGAAAAAGTTAGAGAAAAATGACCGAACAAGTCAAGCAATCGTGGAGCGAACTCGATGTTCAGTACTTTTTCACCCTATATCATTGGCCAGGAAAAATTTACTGAACGTGAGGGTAATTTGTGCCGAACTGTCAAATTTGCCCTGCATGCCAGCAAAAACTATCCCAATGAAGTTTTGTATGTTTTGTAGGCAACTTGCATTGAATATTCCACAAATATGTGAAATATTCAATGCAATGAAACTTGTACTGATTATTTCACCTCTCAATAATATTGCTCGTGTACAATCTTGTGTTCAATTATTTTTTTAATTGATCGACATTTCATACATAAAAAATATGGCGCAGTCTTCCAGAAATTAGGGGTTTCGGCTGTATTCAACTATTTCTTAATTTAATTATTCTTTGTTTTGTTATTTTCATTTCAAATAATTTTTTCTGCTAATTAAAATAGTCTTGAAGATATGGAAGCCATCATATCACCATTTAGGTGATTCTTTCATTTTAGATCCTCCCACGAAACTCGAATTTCCTTTAACCGTCCAGAAATTGGGTTGTTCACTCTAAATATTTTCTGTCCAAATTTCAAGTTGATATCTGGATTTTTGCATAAGCTAGCGTGATTACAAAGTATTTTATAACACACAGAAAAGCGGGAATATCCCGAAAACTTTGGATGAACGGATATATATGTTTTGATTAAAGATGTTCAGCCATTTTCAGCAAATCTTATTTTTTCATGTTCAAAGAAAATTCTATAATTTTTTTTTGGCTGATAGTAGGACATATGAAACTAATTTCTTTGATGTTTAAAAAAAATCAATCGCAATAGTCTCGCCAGAAATAAATGAACAAATTTTTCCTTATACACGGGCTCTTATGGGATTTATGTTGAAATTTATAATTCACCTACTATAAGAGTCTAAAAATAGGAATAAAAATGGAAGGTAATGTGCAAAACTATACTGAAGCGAAAGGCTTGAAGAAAATTTGGAGTACTCGGGCAAAAATAGGAAATATTTGAATGATTCTATTTCATATAAGCGCATGTTAGCGCATGCCTTTGATGCATTTTGTCCACTCCATTTCTAAATAATAAGCCTGGGTTGGTGGATGGAATTTTTTATCAAGATAAAAGGAATAACTTCATCTCTGTTGAAAAAAAATCAATTTTTGACGTGGATACGTCTATGGTTTCAATATGGGGGATGATTTTGGGAAACAGTCCTTATGTGCAGTGTCGTCTATCGGAAGTCTAGAAAATTCTAAACATTTCGAGGTAATTCGAGAAGTTTCTTGAAATTTCGAGGAAATTCAAGGAGTTTCTAGAAAATTCGAGGGAATTCAAGGAGTTTCTAGAAAATTTGAGAGAATTTAAGAAGTTTCCAGAAAATTCAAGGGAATGCAAGGAATTTCTAGGAAATTCGAGGAAAAAGGACAGACCATGGACGTATCCACGCACAATTACAGCTGTATCGAAGATACAGCCGCCTGCAATTTTTTTGAATACTTGCGATTTTTTGGATAAACATCCTGAATTTAGATAGAAGGCATCGAACCGAATATTTTGCACGAAACACCTTAAAGACATATATAATAAGAAAAGATTTTTGTATCTCCACAAACATAAAAAACTGTACTACACCGATCTTCACTTTTTTCCAGCTCCTTTATTCATTCTTTAAAAAATACATGTTATCTTATAAAATTAATGACTCGAATTGCCGGTAATGAGGATGAGAACCGAGAGATGAAAAACACGGCAGTAGTTCCGCTGAGGTGCGTTGTAAACCCTGAAAACTCGGGGTTGTTCGCAATATTTAATTGTAACTTAATGTATGTAAAGCTGAACACGTAGTAAGTACTAAAGAACCAAGTGACGCTTCTCCAGCAGTTTTGGAATATGGGTAGAACGAGACCAAAAATTGCTGGAGGTAAAGATGAGAAAGGAGTAGGCGGCACTTGAAAGAGTAGAGAAATGGAAGAAAGTTAACTGTGAACCATAGTGATGTGCGAGAACGGGGTAGAGCGGAAGTGAGAGAGCAATGCAGCAATAACACCGAGGGAACAGTTGGCATTGTGCCAAAGTGTCAGCCGTTATATTATAGCCATTACGCAGAACTTATCCTGAATGTTCCATCGTAGGGTTGGGACATTTTATTATCTCTGTCTGTTTGTTTATCAACAGACGTGAGTGCAATAATTTTCACATTTTCCTTGTCATTTGAATAATTGTTTGAGTTATGAGTCATTGTGAAATAAGACTCATTGAATACAAACACCAGAAATGCGCCTGTATACTTGATTTGACTATCTGTTATGTTCGAAAAAATTTTCTCCCACGCAATTCTCCTCATTATCATCGATTCCCCGACTTTATGGCCTCCACTTGGTCTACCTATCGACCTACCATCCATTCCACAAGTATTCACACTTTACAATGCGTTTAAAAACTCCTTAACCACCGTGGAGCGTTGAGATGAATAGTACATTATCATTAGGACACAGCTTGTACTCTCCCTGTCCCTGCAAAATCACGTAAATCATCAGTTATGCCAAGGTGTATATATTTTCTCCCTTCCCCCCCCCCCTCCATCTACTCCTTCAACGTGCGCTGTCTCCCTTTCCCCCCTGACTTTTCCTTTCCAGCTTAATAAATTCCCCGCTATAAGTTCCGCACCCGCCCTCAATTAGGTCTCACAGTTTATCATGTCGACGACGGGGGCGAAACTACTTTAGCTTTAAGCATGGTCTTAAAGTCAGAACGTCTCGCGTCTACACTTTATAATTTACGGAAAAAAAAAACGGAAGAATATAAGTAAGAGTATGTGAATACATGTACGTGAAAAATGAAAGGAATAGGGGTGACTAGGGGATCGTATGTGGGTGTAAGAAGTGAGAAGGAGAGTGCTCCAATGAAAGAACAAAAAAATAAAGAGATGAAGGAGGAAGTGAAAGGATAGCACTGTGGCATGCAAGGGGAGCTTTCATGAAACGTGGATATTATCATAATAATGGGCAAACCCATCATCTTTCCACCGTCTGGTTTTTCTCCTTTTTTAAGCTTTCTCTGTTCTCCTTGGCTTCTTTTCTCTTCTCCACCATTTGCTCTTTTTGCACGTTAACCCACCGTACAGCGAGTTCTCTCCACCCCTGTAGAATATCTTAATACCACCCCACGGTCTAACGATACATTTACAAATTTAGAATGATAAATTTTTCATTCCCAAGTGAAAGGGGCCAACGTCGTTTGAATTCTTGAGAATAAAACCACGAGAGTGGAGTTAAATGGACCAACGTCTTAGGGGAAATTTTCAAATTATTATTGGAAGTAAGGAATTGTGGCACCATATTCTTGATCTCTGACACAAGCGCATTTCCAGTATTAAAATTCGATACAAATACTCCCAGTAAATCTTTCTAAAAAATCCTGAAAGCCTTTTGTACAACAGAGCATAGTAATGACGTTTGAGAGGTATAGAAAAGGGTGGGGCAAAATGGACACTTTTGACTTTTTTTTCAATGTTCATAATAAATTCAGGAATAAATTCATCAATTGAGCTCAGCTGGCGGTCATCACGAAGGGGAAGAATTGTACTTTCCATTGAAGAGAAAATTATTCTATTTCATCGAAAATTCAATGAGTCATCGCCATTTAAAAAAAGTCCAAAGGGTCCATCTTACCCCAGTCGCCCCTAGCGTATTCCCAATAACATTACTTCATGATAACCTATGCTCATTCAATATGGCGGCAATTTAAAAAAACCGAAAAACCCGATTTTGCCCTTTGACAGTTTAAAAAGTGAGTGAAAATGATCGGACCGTCTTGAAATTGATACACAATGTTCAGAACACTAAAATAAGCATCCTAAATTTTTAAATTCTAGATAACCTGGAAATCGACAACAACAAATCGAATTGAAGCAAATTGGCTAATCATTAGATTAACAATTGGAATAAATCCAAAAATCATCAGATTCAAATTTCCATCTATAGCCTTGTCAATTCCAGTGTTCTGAACACTGTACATCAATTTCAAAACGATCGAACCATTTTTACTCACTTTGTAGACTTTCAAAGGGTAAAATCGTTTTTTTTTCATTTTTTTCAAATTCGCTGTTATATTGGATGAGCATAGGTGGGTCAAAACATATTTTGTTTTCAGTATACGGCACCGACCACAAATATTGTAGTCCCCTATTAATTTAAAAAAAAATTCAAATTTCACCGGTTTTTCGTTGCAAGGGTTAACTTGCCAATGCGGCCATCGCCCGAGGGCCTTCAGCTAGGGAATGTTGAATGCGGAGTAGGTTTTTTCACTTGGAAAATCTGTGGAGTATTCGGTTTGAAAATTGTGTTAAATTTTCAGATGAATATTATGTGGAAATTTGGGATGAAAAATTGGTGTGGAATTTTGGCCCGGTCGGGGCTCGAATCTGGGAGCTTGAGGTTGTGAATCTCATGCTGCTACCAAGTGCGCCACACAGCCGGGTTCTATTAATTTATTTTCGTATTTATTTTTCAAATTCATATGCCATCTTTGAACTTTTATAATTATAGCGGACTTTTCGGGGTTTTCTACTGAATGGAAAATTAATAATAATAAGTACTAATCATTACTTCCAGTAATAAAAAGAAATGGTTGATAAAAAAATTTTTTTTGCTTGAATTACGTCTAACAGTTGTATTTTCGACTGTTTTATATTGCCACGCTGTTCCATTTTGCCCCACTCACCCCTACCTTGATGTAATAAATAATAATGTTGCCTTATGGAGGGAAGTGCCGAAGGAAAGTCCCGTACATTTACGTGAACATCCATAATAATATGTGAGGTGATTCAAAGAGGTGTAAATTCATTAGCGGTTACCCATCCACAATTTTGAAAAATAATTTAGCAGAGGCCCTGGTTGTATACTAAAATCCATATTTTTTTAGTGACTGCACATGTGAGAAAAATCTCACGGCGGTCATTTTGTTATTGCAGAACTTTCAAATTTCAGTAGTGACCTTTCTTAATTGAAAAAAAGACTATTGAATCTGACAGGAAAAAAGGTATAATGAAAGAACATCAACAACAAGAGCCACTCGCGGTCGGAATGGCGATAGTACAAATAAAAATAAAAAATTGTGTAAATGAATCTCAGGGCATATTGACACATTAGGGCGCGACATTTTCTGCTGAAGCACAGAGTTTAATGGAAATTGAAGGAAAGACCAAATATCCATCTTCCCTCGATTTTTTCCATCTTGCCCAGTCTTCTGAATGACCCCACGTACATCTACGTGCTTCGAAATCCTTCACTCGTTCCATCTTTCCACTCCGCAACTCCTTGTTTTTCGCATTATCGACTGTTTTTGTTTCACGAGTTGAAGGTAAAAATGTGTCAGTGAGAGAACAAATGTTTTTCTTACCAATAGCTCCCAGTCTGCGTCGTTTACGAGAACGAGGATGCCTGGTCTTCTGCAAGAGGGAAAGAATCTTGGTGAGTCATGAGGAATATTTGAAATGGAGTTGATGTCATCATTACGTGAATGAACGGTTGAATTTTTATGATTTTATTGGATAAGAGGTCTTACACTGTGTCTGCCTGGAGGAACAGCTCTTCCCTCTCCTTCAATAAATTGTCCTTAATCCAGTATAGTAATTTTTGTAACGTCCCTAAAAAAATATAAATTTTAAGAATAAGGAATTGGAAATAAAAAGTCAATTGAAAACTAGTGAACTTACATTCTTTATCGCCAGGTAAATTCACTTCATGTTTTTTCTTTTTGTCAAAAAGAAGTTCAGCTCCTCCTCTATAAAATGAAGTTCATATTCAGACATTACGAAAAAAATTACTAAGTAAATAAGTCATCCAGTTTCAAGGAATTTCTTTGGAATAAATTTATTTCCAAGTTATGAATATTCATAAAAAAATGCACCGTTTATTTTGGTCAGCTCCCCCTATTATTTGCAAACTGATATAAGGATTTAGTTGCTGTTAACAAGGCGTCTTAATTATTAATGCCATTCATTGATAGTTAACGAATAGTTCAGAAGCCTCGCTCACAGCAACTAATGCCCTTCATTAATAATCAACGATTGGCATTAATAATTAAGAAGCTTCGTTAACAGCAACTAAATACTTTCATCTTTTCTATCAGTGCACATAACACGAATATCGTAATTCAACCCACTATCGTTTATTAGGAATGAGTTCCTGGATTCAATATATGGCCACTTTTGACTTTTTTTAAAATATTCATAATTCAAAAATAACTTTATCAATTGACCTCAATCTTGTTTTATAGCAAAGAGTAAAATTGTACTTTCGACTGAAAAATAAATTATTCCATTTCATCAACAATTCAATTCATTAGCATTAATATAAGTCATAGTATTTTGTTAAAAAGTTAGAAGTTCCCATTTTATCCCACCCGCCTCTAGTATATTCTTGCGATCATTCCGATGAATAAGCTTCAATACCCTGTTAGAGAAAAAAAATGAAATTTCAGGTATACTTTAATAGCTGCTTTTACTTGTTTTCCTGACGCTCGAATTTCATTCGGGGGAGAAAAATAATAAAATTCTAAATTCCACTAGAAATTAAATAGAATTTAGATTTTCTCCAACAGCAGGAAGATGGGGATTCCCCAAATCACTTGAATTTTCAATCAATACCTGAATATTCACGAACTTACGCAGAGTTTTCAATTGATTAAAAATTGAAATATAAGGGAGAGTAGGGTAAAACGGTCCCTTTTGACTTTTTTTGTCATGCTCTTAACTCTGGACCAAATTCATTAATTGAGATCAGTCTAGGCTCATTGTAAAGGGGAAGAAGTGTAGTTTCCATAGAAAAAAAATTATTCTATTTCATTTCAAATTGAATGAGCTGTTAACATTTTTGAAAACATCAAAAGGGGCCGTTTTACTCGCCCCTATATTTACAAGCATTTTCCTACTTCCTATTAATTTTTGTGGGCTGATCCAACAGAAATTAATTCATCAAAAGTTGAGTTTTCCACAACGAAATTCCTTAGAATGTCAATGGAACTGTTAATTGATAAAAATTTCCAATAAGTTTACGGAAAATTTCGACCAAATATTATTCACAGTATGAAAATAACAAAATGTAGAGGTTATCTGCATTCAAACCATCATCCTCACCCAAATTCTACGGTTATTGGTAATCCACCACCACTTGCAGCCATTTCAATGCATCAATAAACGATTGTTCAGACAACTCCCATGAATAAATCCTTATTATACTAAAAATAAATACAACAATTCGATACAACCGGTGTCAGACACTTTGTAATTGTCACGTTTTCATCGAACTGCGTTTCTTGCCATCTGTCGTAAGACGTCGGAAGATGAGAGCATTCGTCTTCTTTCACTTGATAAACTAGAATTCTCTCATACCACCACCCTGTACTGTCAATAAACTGTCACAACCATTAGGGACGATTGTTTAACTGCAAAAAAATGTCGTTCAAATAAGTGACTCAACGATATTTTCGGAATTCTCACAGTTGAATACCGATCCACTTCAGCAACTCTGGATATACCTGGAGAACCGGTTACTCAAGTGAGTGTTCAATCAATCTTCAGCGATGTTTATCACCTGAAACTATTCGAAAACGAAATGACCAGAGGGTGGCTAGATTATTGTTGATGCAGATGAAGTCAGTAACAACGAATGACAATTATTTTAATTGATTTCTTGATAACTGAAGGAATGGAAATTTAATTGTTTGTCGAATGTTTCTAGGTTAGACAGAGGGTAACAATGGCTCAGTCATCGTCAAGCGGAACATCCTCACGCAGATATGGAAAGGATCATGAAAGTTCAACAAACTCTCGCTTACCGTATGCCGACAGTGAGTGGGAAACCAAAGAGGTAAAATGTTAACCAAGTGATTCACACAGAATTACAGAATTAATCAATTTACGGAGAATTCTTCATCTCATAATTGAAAGGTAAAGTCAATATTTTCGATTGGTATCAAAGAGGTAAAATGGAGAAAATTAAAATTGATTCATCTCAGTTTTTCGAGTCTCTTAACAGTAAATTATTCCAGAGAAAATATCTAGAAAATGTTTTTCTCTATACAATTTTTTACAAAATTCCCTAGACAATTTTACTGTTTAGATTGTTATGCATTTTCATGGATGATAAGAGGGGAATAAATAATCGGATGTTGGAAGAGATCAAACAGTTCTAATTCGTCGCAAAATCACGACGTTTTGCTAAAAATTTCAGTTGCCTTAAGCTCTGAAAAGCAAACACAAACACAAAACATTCCAATTATTTTTGACTATTAAAATTGCTGATCTCTTCATCTCGCTTTATCAACATTTAAGTAATTTAAATGTTGAGTTCTCAAACAATTGTCTCATTTTTCAGTAGAGACTCTTCTGATCACAACTTGTGATGTTACTAATTTTCATGGGCGGCAATAGTGGAATAAATAATGGGATGTTGGAAGAATTCGAATATTATTTATCTGTAGTATCAAATCACGACATTTCACTAAAAATTTCAACTCCCTTTTTATTGTTTGAACTCTTTCAACACTCCATCATTTATGCCAATGTTATTACTGACGATTTATTCGAAGCCCTTTAACAACCATTTCTCATTTTCGGGCAAAATGTTAAAATCGAACATGAATTCTCTACCAATTATTCACATAAAAATATTGCAGTGAAGTGGAAATTCCATTCGAGGTTCGTCGAGAGATCAAATAGATAAATCACCAAAATGAAAACCATGGGTTCTGCACTTATAATAAAATATGTGGACGTGCGCATGGAAAGGGACCACTTTGTCGATATGGTGCTATGTATACTCTGATAATATTGATAACATTCCGCACATTTTGAGCCCAAAATGATCTTCGTAGGGTCGAAAATGACGTCGTTGGAGAAGATGGAAAATAAATTAACATTGATGCAAATGAGAGTTGCTGACACAAAAACATGAATACCTCGGAAACTAGAATCGACAAAGTAGTCCCTTTTCATGTCGACGTCCACATATATGAAATATGGGAACAAAATTATTTGAAGGGGAACCAATGAAAGGATAAATGAGAAAATGAAAAAAAGGGATACAGCCGAAACACTCAATATCTGGACGACTGGATCAGACGATGAATGCATTCAAAATTTCGATCAATAATAAAGGTCAGATTGAGGTTCACAACGGTCCGATTAAGGGTCCAAATAAGGGTCACGGGGGTCAGAAACTAAGGATCACAAGGGTCTCTATATTATAAAATCCAAATCCAAATCGACTTCTGGTGATGAAAATTTGGTACTAGAAATTCAGATTTCAAAATTTAGGGTCAGAAATAAAGGGTGAACAATACGGGACACGAGGGGTATAATGAGGGTCAGATTTAGGGCCACACGGGTCAGAATAAGTATCATGGCAATCATATGGAAGTCATATGTGCGTCATATGGGGGTTGGCGAGCACAGCGAATAGGGGGCTTAGCCCGTTAGTATATATAACGAATTAATTGTTTCCGTTTTCATATCTACGATAGTGAATTTTCGATATTCTGCTGTACCTCATGCCATTGAGAACGCGTCTTTTTAAATGTATTTTTTTTTGCTAAAGAAAAGTTGTTGCTTTCGGACAGACAATAAAAAATACCAAAAAGTTTGGGGAACGTCGTAAAATGAACGATTTTATTCTTAAAGTCTAGTTTTTTGGCAGAACCAATTGAAAAGCCATTATTATTTTTTTAACGTCGAGAATTGTTGCCGAAAAAAATATATTGAACATGTTTTTATACAAAGTATATTTCTCAATGTAGAAAAAATTGGAATATTAAAAGCATAAATCTCGAAATGACATGCTTGTCGGGCAGTAATCGAGTTCGAGAGCTGAAGTTTGATGCAAGGTCATATTTAACGGGATACTAAAACAAATTAAAAATTGAGAAGAAACGAAAGCACGGCGCCAAATGATTGAACGAAAAATCTCTAAAATGTTCTGTAAAAGGATCTGTTGACCTGTTTTCATTATTAATCGCGAGTGCTCTCCATCTGCACTAATCTGTTGCAAGGAATGATTGAACGTTCCCCTCAACCCTGTCCATCCTCTATAATTTGAAAAACCTATTGTTTCACTTTAAAAGGCCATGCGGCAACGTGAGTTGGAGGAAGCGCGGGCACGTGCAGCACAGATGGAGAAAACAATGAAATGGTGGTCGGACTGTACGGCGAACTGGCGTGAGAAGTGGAGCAAGGTTCGAAACGAGCGGAACAAAGCGCGAGAAGAGGCGAAGTTGCTCCGCACAAAATTAGAAATTGCAGTGAAGGACGCAAATAGCTACAAACACGAGTCCCAAGACTTAGAACTGCAAAATGAACAACTGCGAAAGGAAATGGAGAAAATTCACATGGTTCTGTTAAAGCACGCGGGTCAATTCGACAGGCAGATCGTGAATATTCTTGAGTCAGACCCACAGCTGCGGAATTCTCTGGGGATCGACGACCTCGTTGAGCTCTACAACAACGTGGACAAGTCCCCAAAAATCCAGTCACCGGTACAAATGACCTCTCGGAGGAGTCCCCGAGAGGAGACTGAAGGATGTCTAGACCCAAAAGCTGAAGGGACTGACAGAGACATCGAGGAATACGTCCTTCAGGGAGCAGTGCCAAAGCACGCAGTTGAATTATACAAAGAGGGATCCCTAGGGAGTCTCGAAAGAGACATAACTAAGTTAATGAAGGAGAGCAGCAGATTAGACTCAAAAATGGAACGATTGAAGTCCCCAACCACCAGTGACCCTGAGGAATCGGTGAAGAGACGAATGGTGATGCTGAATCTTGAACTTGAAGAGACGACAAAGGCAATTTCTGCTGAACGGGACGAGAACACCTCTCTGCATCGAGCTATCGAGAAGCTGAAGGCTGAAGTTGGACAACTGAGGGCTCGATGTAAAGAGCTCGAGGACAGTCGAGTAGAGGCTGTTAGAGAGCTGACTGAAATGAAGGATCAGTACCAAATTGAGATTATGGCAGCGCAGGCTGACCTCTTGGACGAAGCCTCGAACAGAGAGGGCATGGATCAGAGGATGAACGAACTCAGGGCTGAGCTCGAACGACTTCAAGCTGAGAACGCCTCTGAATGGGGAAAACGGGAGCGTTTGGAGTCGGAGAAGTTGTCTCTTGAGAGGGAGAATAAACAATTGAGGAGTGAGCTGAGGGAGTCGCAGGAGAGACTAGAGCCCAGGAGGTCGAGGGTGAGCTCGACGATCGATGCTGATGTCAGACAGCTACAGCAGGACTTGATGGACCTGAAACATGTCAATTCGAAACTTAAGAAGGGACTTGCTGAGAAGACAACAGAGCTGACTCATGCGTTGAGGAGGTCTGAACAGTATGAGACTGAAGTTAAGAGGGTGCGGTCGAGGGTAGATGAGCTTAAGAAAGAGCTAGCTGTGGCTCAGGATGAAGTTGATGCTGCTTCTGGCAGTGTTCGCAGGCTTCAGAGGACTAATGAGGATCTCATTGAGCAGTTGGAGTCTGCTAATGTTCAGATTGAACATTTTAAGAATAGGTAATTATCTTTTAGGGAATAATGGGATAAATTGTTGAATGACCAGGTTATTGGCTTTATTCTGAGAGAAGTTATTACATATTTGACGTAGGTTACCCCTTCCGACGGTTTATTTTGTGTGAATAGTCTTGTAATGAATTATTGAATTCAATTTTCAAATACATTATCATAGAAATTCTATTCGGAAGCAAATTGCTAATTTATTAGCAAAAATATATTGAATACATTGTGACGAAAGCAATTTCCCACTTGTTTAATTTTTCACGATGTATGTCTCAGGCATGGCCTGGACTAAATGGTTGAAACTTTTCATTTTTGAATTTGCTAAATAATATGATCCAAATTTTGGGCCTTTAAAATATGGCGCAATTTCACGTATGAAATTACGTGAATTACGTGGATTACGTATGAAATTACGTGAAATTGGGGTTTCTATAGGATTTCTATTGGAATTCTATCGGAAAATTGTATTTGTTTGTTGCGCTGATTCTATTAGATATTTGATAAGAAAAAGTCAATTGATTTCGATTTTCTGTTCGAATTTTTCTGTTGAGATTTTTTCTATTAGAAACAGAATTATTGGGCGCAAATTTCCTACATTTTTTCCGCTGGATTTTGTTTTGTTTTACATTACAGAATCCGAGTGGAAAAAACTTGGCAAATTGATGGCCAAGCATTCTTGAAGAAAAAATCTCAAGAGAAAAGTCCAAACAAAAATTCGAAATCTATTGACTTTTTCTTATCGAATATCCAATAGAATCAGCGCAAAAAATAAATAGAATTTTTCAATACACTGAGAAAAAAAATATATTTGCGCCAAATATTCATTTACTGAATCACTGAGAGAAGTATTTATTTTTTCAAAATCGTATTTCTCCAATCGAGTCATTCCCAGGCGAGCCTGACTAAGTTTCAATTACAACAGTCATGTTGCTCTAGAGGATGACTATGTTGCACATGACATTGGATGGACTCTTCTAATGATTATTCATATTTCCAAAATTTTTCATTTTCTACAGGGTAGAATTCCGATCAATTTTTTAATGTTGCTAATTATTGAAGAAGTTCACTCAAGGTCATAACTAACATGATCATATTCTAGAGCAATATAATTGACATGATTGAAACCTAATGAGGATTGCCTGAGAATGACTCGAATGGAGAAATACAGTATTGAAAAAGTAAATACTTCTCTGAAGTAAATGGATATTTGGCAAAAATAATTTTTTTTCTCAGTGTAGAATTCCAATAGAAATCCTACAGAAACCTCATCGAATTCCAATAGAATTTCACTTGAATTTTCTATCGAATTCGTTACGAGACGAATTTCTGTTTTCTATTGATTTTTTTCATGCGTTTCACCATCTCCAAGTGACTAAGGAAATACCTTGAAGAAACAATATGTTTATCCATTCGATAAGATCTAATAGAGCCTGAGAATATTCAAATTATCATCGATTATTATTGATTAAATAAGTAGTAAAACTGATCGATGCATCCCGAATATGAAATTAATAGATAATTCATTTTCTTTCAGTTCCGAACCCAGTCCTCATGGTATGTCTGAAATGGAGGATAAAGGCAGAGATGATGAGAATGATCATTCAACGGCAGGTGAAAAATTCTCTCCTTCAGATAATTTGAAAAATAAACATTATCGAGGGATTTCATACAAATAATGTGTTCATTTTCTTCTTTTTCAGATTATGAACAAAGAGTTTAGCACAAGTACAACAAAAACTGATCATTCCCGAATTAAGCGACAAATGGATAGTGTTATTAGGTGTGACTGATATTTTTTTACGTTTTTAAATTTTCATTTTTGATGTTTTTTTCGTTGTTTTTTGCCCCGGATGAACGTATGCATTTGTGAACTGTATATAACAAAGAAATGTACCTTACCCAAGACTGATGAGATGAACAAAAAGTGTTATGAAGGGTTAATTTAATACGGTGAATCCCATCTGCTGATCTACACAAATTGCAGGAATTAGACCTGAAAGAAATGGAGTAGCCCTAAGCCCTAGTCGCTTGTACCCTCGAGAAAATTAAAGAAACAAATGAAATTCAAGACTTCATACTTTTATTTATAAATATATAAATATTTTGCGGAGTGATGTATATGGGAGCAAGCGTATTGTGTATCAGTATAACATGAAATTCATAGGTGTGGGTATTTGATTATGACATACGTGATTGTCTGAGTCTCATTGCACGATCATCAGCACTTCATGGGCGTTCCATCGGAGTAGGTCGGCATTTTTGGCTTACAAATCTTGGTCCTGCCATTGGAGCCATGCACAATGTTACAAGAGAATGTGAAATAACCGCAGGTAGAGCTCTTCGTGTAATAACGATGCTCGTATTTTCTTCGGGGGTCATCCATTTTTCCTGTCACACTATTAGTCACTGTCACGTAATTTGGCTTCACTGGAGTTGGGTTCATGGATCTAGTGATGCTAGCGCCTAAAAATATTCATTCAATTACGAACAATGTCGGTGTTAAGGGGGGGGGGGGATCCCTCGTGAATTCTAAAGGTTTTCGGTCGATCAGTGTGCTTAGTTGACCGACTTTTATATATGATTGTAGGGTGAATCGTCCAGTTTATAAATCAATTTATGTATTGACATCGGAAAAGATGGTTGAGTTGGTAATTTCCCTTTTTACAATACAATGAGTTTCAGACCATTTCAGCGTTGATTTTTTATTGTGAGGTCGAATTTGCCAACGTAACCATCGTCCAAGGGCCGGGGCATGATGTGGACTGCATTTTCGACTGAGAATTTTGTCGAATATTCGACAAGTTGAAAATTGTGAGGAATTTTTTTTTGAGGTATTACCTTTTATGAGTGTCAATTGACATGTTCAAGATCAAATACTATATAAATGAAGGATTTCTGTAAAATTTTATCGTCTTGGCACCACCCGTTTGTCTAACAATCATGGTAATAGCTTAAATTTCTAAAAATATATTTTGCAAACAAATAAGCGGATTTGAATAAACAATGAATGATTCTTTCTGCTCGGCGTTTAATGCCACATTTTTAGATTTTTTTTCCTCTTCAAATTCCATTTTCAGGAAGTTTTTTTCATTTTATTTTTTCTTCTTTTCATCACAAAAATTAAACAAAAAAACTTGAAATATTTCGGCCAAGGAAATTCTATAAAAAATATCTTAATAGAATAAGTCTTACAGAAAAATTGAATTCTATTGACCGTTTCTATAGAATATTTTCTATTGATTATTTTTTCAACCCAAATTTCCGTCAACAGGATTGGTCCATTCGACATCACGTGGTACCAAGGACCATGGTATTATACTGATAATTTTTTGATAATTTTCNTAATACACTCGGCCAAAAACGCTAATAGGAAGTTCAATTGAAATTTAATAGAATTTTCTAGTGAATACGATGGGTTTTTCCATTAAATTTTTTCATGCATGTGATCATAACACATAATTTTTTCGCACAATTCTAAAATGGAATTCATTAATAGCCTTGGCGGCTGATTCGGCATAAAATGTCTTTTGTGGGAAATTTTCGGTCGAAAATTTCTTATAAAAATTTAATTCACTACGATCTCATGAAAATTCTCCTTCATTCATATTTTCATCAAATTTTGATTGTTTCATTATTAGTATTTGATGAATCGTATTCTTGCAAACCCTGGACAATTCACTCCGTATGTACGTTGAAAATAGAAAAAATGCTGGACCCAATGATGCGGCATCAAAATCATAATTTTTCGTGTTTTTCCTTCAAAATTGCCTTTGGTTCACAATTTATACTGGATTTCGACGCAATTGAAATGTTTTTCAAACTCCGAAGCGTGAAGTTCACTATTCACATCACATCTCACGGAATGAATCAAGATAATTTTTATTTGTATTATCTGTTTTCAGACTTCCCGATGTGATCCACGGAAAGCAGAGTTCCTGCTCTCTCGATTTTTTCTACAAAATGTAAAACGAATTGACTTCACACTTCTATTTTTAACGTACATGAAAAATTATGATTTGTGGCAAATCTGGGGAAAAATCGATTGAGTTCATCATTTCTCCACTCTTTTATGTATCCCATAATCTTTAACCCTAGATTGGTCACCCTATGAAAGAAACCTTGCCGCGCGTTGTTTTTCATTAATTACAATTGACTGGCTAACTGGAAAAATTAAAAAAAATTGGCTTTGTCAATTAAAGTGTCTAAAAAATTATACTAATTTTTAAAACAACATATTTCCCAAAATTCCTAAAGAAAACAAATTATTTCGAACAGATGAATTATTTTTTCTCATGTTAAATGAAATTGCACATGACGCGACGTTGCCAGAAACTCGCTAAATGCGCCCGGGCAGTATAGAGTAAATTCGGCAACGCTAAAGCCTAAATAACACGGCGGGGAATCCCCGCGGAGGTGACCAATCGCAGGGTTGCGTCTGGTGACTACTGTCGGACTGGCGATTCCGTTCCCTTCTTTTTCAGAGGTGCGAGACATGGATGTGCGTGGGGATTGGCCAAAATGGGGATAGCTACGAAGGGAACGGACTCGTCAGTTTGCCTATAGACTATGGTTAACACTCCGCTAGTCGCGCAAAAGCTACGAAAATAAGCGCCGCACCAGCATAAATCGACATAATGATAAATTTGAAAGATCTAGGAAAAATCTGAAAAAATCAAGAGTGATCTAGATCGTATACTTGAAGAAGTTCCGAGAGATTGTTTATGTTCAGTGTTACCCTTAATTATATATTCAAGCTCAAAGTTGCTAAGTTTTTCTGAAAATTCGTCTTATAGACGGTACACGACCCGGAGTTTCGGTCTGAAAATTTGAAAATCTAACTACTTACGATATTTTTGGCGGATATTTTCATTGATAGGGCTTTTACACACTTCAAAATGAGATATCAATTTTTTTCAAATTTTTCTGAGGCTTTACTGCAGTGTAATTTAAAAAAATAGGAAAAAGTGCGGCGCGACGCTCATAGCGCGATCAACGGAGTTTTAAAATTCACCGGCACTGTTAAAAATTTTTATCTGAATTTTTCGTGCCAAATTCCGGAAATTTTTATCGTGTTCCGATTCCACTGAAATTTCAGGAAACCTTGTCATTGAAAATTTAGAATTTCGTGGAAAAATCAAACAAAACTGTAAATTTCCACTCCATTATTCCCTGAAAACTAATAGAAAATTAGAAAATTCTGGTAAATATATTCTTGAAGATTCAGGACAGTGACAACTAATTACGATTTTTAGGGGAAAAAAATCATGAGATTTCAGATTTCACTGAAAATTCAATGTGATTTGACACTGAATATTCATATTAGATTGGTTCCATTATTCCCTGAAAATAGAAAATCAGAAAATTCTGATAAATATATTCTTGAATATTCAGAACAGTGCCAACTAATTGCGATTTAGGGGAAAAAAATCATGAAATTTCAGATTTCACTCAAAATTCAATGTGATTTGACACTGAATATTCATATTAGATTGAAAATTCCAGTAAATTTAGGAATTCTCGTCTTCGTGCCCCTTAAATTTCCGGAATTGTACTGAATTTTCATGATTTTTTCCCCTAAATCGCAGTGTCACTCTCCTGAAAATCGGTAGTCAACTGTCCATGAAGTTTCATTTTTTTTCTAACAGTGAGGGTCCCCTCTAAATGGATACCACAACCCTCGAGGTCTTACACGTACTCAGAGGCTTTGGATAGTTGTGAGAATTCCTACTATAGCTTCCCGTAGATCCATGCAGACTCTTGTATCTAGAATCACCATTCTTCAGTAACTGTGAGCGATCTTGTGTAGCTGGGGTCAAAGATACGGTTTGCGCTTGTGAATTTCCACCTTGGGCCTGAGTTCGTTCCCCTGAAACTGATGCGATCTTCGCTCTGAAGCCTTGAGGGACTGTGTAACCTGGAAGAGCCTCACCGGGCTGGAAAATATCACCCTCGTGAAATTTAGAAGATTCTTGCTGCACATTCGCGTCATATTTCTTCGCAGTTGCAACTCTGATCAATTGAGTCTGTCTATACCCTTCCCCGCCGCTTCGAACTCTCGTTGTTGTTGAATCGTAATCTGCGTCGTCGTCGTCGTACTCATCGTCGTCATATTCTTCGTTCTCTGGATCGTAAGCTGGTTCCTCTCGGGGTTTTTCGCTGGGCGGATTCATGTGCGGTATTGTTTTCGCAATTACTATTTTTCGGGATGAGGATGAAGTCCTCAGTGACTGTTCTCCTGAAGAAGCTGCTGTTGAATCAGGTTGTTGAGGCTGATAAGGGGGAGGAAGAGTAGAGGGTGATGGTTCGTCTCTCGAGATGGAGATGGGATCCGGTTTTTCGATTTTTTTGAAGAGATTGGGATCTGAATTGGTGAAATTGAAGGGTTTCCTCGAGGCAGCAGCGCCGGACCCTGATCCTGCTTGAGCTGCTCCGGTATAACTGATTCCGTATTGAAAAGATCCTTGGATTTGCGATTGCGACTGCCCCTGGTAAGTTCCACTCTGTGCAGTCGCTGTTCCTCCTCCTCGGAACGGTTTAGAGGGGGTTTCCTCCTGTTCCCGGGACCCCGAGTATGGCTGGAAACCGATCTGCGCCTGACTGGAGGTGCTTCCCTCACCGTTTGCTTGTGCATCAGCCAGTCCTCCCTTTTCACTTGCTTGAACCTGAGAACTCGTTCCGTGGTTCCATCCGCTGCTCTGAGCGTCGGTCGATGTCGCTCCAGTGTCGGAGTTGAGTTGAACTTGCGCCTGACTTTTACCGAGACCTCCAGTGCCCTGGGCACTGCTTATGGCTCCTTCTTTACCTCCGGATACCTGGGTTTGGGCGCCTTTTTTGCCGTCACTGGTTCCCGCTTGCGCGGAAAATGATCCAGCGCCGGTGTAGATTCCGCTGACTTTGGATTGTGCGGTTCCTTCGCCGAGTCGACCGTCTGCGGAAGCACTCGCTTCGGTTCCGTCATCGGTTTGTGTGACTGAACTCGAGGCGTGGGAGTCATCGTCACCTGCACCTGCTGGCACGGCTCCTGGTGCGCCCGGAGGATATGCGATGTTTGAGGGTGGTACTCCTAGAGCTCCGGGAGGGTAGACTATTGTACCTAGTGATGCAAAATGAAGGTAATTTTTCACATGCGCCAAGTCAGCTGTAAATTTATCGTTTTCTGGTCATTTCTGAATTGACGCATATGTCGTGATGCAAACTGACCGGTCAACTTACCCAATTGTCAGTAATTTTTTCTTGTTATTTATGCTAAAACATCGTCTATCTAGATAAAAATGAGGTAATTGCAAAAAAAATCAAAAAAGTTTCGTAGCAATTTTCTTATTTATCACAGTTCAGTCCCCGTACAAGATACTAGGCCTAAATCCGTGCCGAGTGACACCCCCACTTTCTGGCTTGAATGCACGGACGAACAAATTTAATAGAAAAACCTATCGAATTCGTTAGGAATAGTATATTTCAGTACATGTGGGGCAATATCGTTTTTAACGTGTGTGGGGTTTACAGCATGAGCCGAAGGCGAGTGATGTAACCACACACGTTAAGGACGAAATTTCCCAACAAGTACTGAACAAAATTTTATGTCACGAAGCCTGAAACCGGCTGGATTACACACTCGACGCTTCGCGTGACGCTTCGCGTCGAGTGTGTAATCCAGCCGGTTTCAGGCATGAGTGGCATAAATTCTATTGAATTTCTATTGAACTGTTCTATTAGTTTTTGGTCGATTCTATTGGAATGTTCAATAGAAAATATTCAGTAGAAAACGTCAATGGAATTCAATTTTTCTATATAACTTATTCTATTGAGATATTTTCTATAGAATTTCCTCGGCTTAAATTTTCTAAGTTTTTTCGTTAGATTTTATTGATGAGAAGAAAAAAAATAGAATGAAAAAACCTTGAAAAATTTGAGTCGAGCAAATTCTATAGAAAATATATGAAAAGAATAAGTTATATAGAAAAATTGAATTCTATTGACGTTTTCTACTGAATATTTTCTATTGAACATTTCAATAGAATCGACCAAAAACTAATAGAAAGTTTAATAGAAATTCAATGGACTTTTCTAATGAATTCGATAGGTGTTTCTATTAAATTTTTTCGTCCGTGTGTATTTCGTTTCGCATTCTCCGTACAAGATACTCGACAAAGGGGCTAGAATTGAGTGGGAATGGAGTTGAAATATTGCAGGAATTACTGACAATATATGCATCTATGATCTAAAACTCAATTGCGCATCAATTGAATTTTAAAACGAATGGGCGCTCGTTACTGTTAATGAAAAAAATTGAACGCATCGGTCATAAAACTTGGTAAAATATCAATTTTTTTACGCGTATTGCACCATGTGTTTTACGTCCATTTTTTTGGATGAATAGATAGACAAAACAAAATTCTACCCAATTTTTGTGAAAACAAAAATTTCAATGAAAGTCTCAATTTTGCCTCGCAGGCCCCTATTAACAAACTAAATTATTCCGAATTTCTAAATTGTTATTTTGAAAAGGAACAATATCTTCTAATCAAACATTCGTGTTTCACATCAGGAATCGTACTCAAATGATCATAAAAATGGAAATCGTTTAGTATCTTGTACGAAGAATATCACACCAAAATATTTTCTCCTCTGAGAGCAAGTAAAATGGGGGATACGTAATTCTCGGATTTTTATTCCCCTACAGTCCCTGTGATATCTTGTACGAAGGTTGGACTGTATTATTATAGAATCTATAAGGCTCAATTATAGAAAAACAGTTGTATAAAATTTTTCCGTACTGACCTTCACTTTTCCCAGTCCGGGGATTGGTATTGAGTCTTCCCCGAACTGGCAAAAGTGAAAGTCACTACAGAAAAATATCGTTCGCTGCTAGTGCCACAGGGGTTTTCCACGCGAAATATACAATTTCATTAAAGTAGCTCTACCCTTACGGTAAATTCAAAGATTATTGAAAACTGCAAAAAAATTGCAGAAAACTCGATTAAATTCGGAATTCTAATTTTTTTCTCAATTTAATTAGCGTTCTGGTTTTAGGATTTAACCCAGTGTCTTATGTGAAAATCAACATTCCTATTGTAATCAAAGATTAAAATCTGAATTTTTTTTCATTAGATGTGAAAAAATCAAGAATTTTTTTGACACCTCATAAAAAATAATCCACCGTTTTGCAAACAAGTTTTATTATTTATTTATAAGAGGGAAATGTTTGAAAAAATATCAATATTTTGCGAAATTTAATTTAGATAATACTGACTGGGTATGAATTTTTTCAAATTTTTTCCATGCAATTTAGTTGAAAAATGGAAAAACTGAAAATATCCAAAAGTACAGCGTAGCCCGGCGGAAGGGTAGAGCTACTTTAAATAAATGATGTAAATCTTCCCATTTGAGAACTAATTGAAGAACTCCCTCAAACACACGATGACTAAAGGAGGCTATCTCTTACTAAAATTTGGAGAGCTCTGGGGTCCAAGGCTCAGCCCAGGGGCCGAGTTTCAAATTTTATCGCGCTCTATCTAAATGTAAAATGACCGTCAAGATTTTCTTTGGTCATTTTCGTGACGCGAATTTCCGTCACTTTCTGACCAAAAATGGTCAATAATTGGCCTTCGGTCAGTGACATGTAATTTACATGTAAAATGACGGTAAATTGACCGGTCAGCTTTGTCCGTTACATCCCTAATTGTACCTGGGATGCCCGGGGCTGGTACTACTCCGCCTGGATAACCGGGATACGATACTCCAGGTTGACCTGGCTGAACTCCTGGAGGTATTCCGCCTGGATATGACACTCCTGGCTGTCCTGGTTGCAATCCTGGTGTTGTGACAACGCCTCCGGGGTAACCAGATGGATAGGATACACCTGGTTGACCCGGCTGCACTCCGGGTGGTACTCCACCTGGATACGATACTCCTGGTGGTACCCCAGGTGTTGTTACTGCGCCTCCGGGATAACCTGAGGGATAGGATATTCCTGGTTGTCCTGGCTGTACTCCTGGCGGGACCCCACCTGGGTATGACACTCCTGGCTGTCCTGGCTGGACCCCTGGTGGTACTCCACCTGGATATAGTACTCCTGGTTGTCCGGGTTGAACACCAGGAGTGGTTGCTACACCCCCAGGGTAGCTAGGCGGGTAAAATACTCCTGGTTGTCCTGGCTGTACTCCTGGTGTTGTCACTAGACCTCCGGGGTAACCAGGCGGATAAGACACTCCTGGTACCCCATCCGGATACGACACGCCGGGTTGTCCCCCAGGTGGTACGCCACCTGGATACGAAATACCTGGTTGCCCTGGTTGTACTCCTGGAACAACACCTCCTGGATACGAGACACCAGGTTGTCCAGGCTGTACTCCTGGAGGAACACCTCCTGGATACGAGACACCAGGTTGTCCAGGCTGTACTCCTGGAGGAACACCTCCTGGATACGAGACACCCGGTTGTCCGGGCTGTACTCCTGGAGAAACGCTTTCTGGATACGAGACACCGGGTTGTCCTGGTTGTACTCCTGGAGGAACACCTCCTGGATACGAGACACCAGGTTGTCCAGGCTGTACTCCTGGAGGAACACCTCCTGGATACGAGACACCAGGTTGTCCAGGCTGTACTCCTGGAGGAACACCTCCTGGATACAAGACACCGGGTTGTCCAGGCTGTACTCCAGGTGAAACACCACCTGGATACGAGGTACCAGGTTGCCCTCCTGGCGTCGTCAGTACACCTGCAGGATATCCAGGAGGATAAGATACTCCAGGCTGGCCTGGTTGAACTCCTGGTGCGGTTACTACTCCTCCCGGAAAGCCGGGGGGATAAGACACTCCTGGCTGTCCAGGTTGCTGTCCAGGGATCGCTCCGACTCCTCCAGGATAACCAGGTGGATATGAGACACCCGGTTGACCTGGCTGCACTCCAGGGATGGTGCCTCCAGGATATCCAGGTGGGTAAGATACTCCAGGTTGTCCAGGTTGCGCTCCAGGGGTCGTTGCAACTCCTCCAGGATAACCAGGGTAGCTTACTCCTGGTTGGCCTGGCTGCACTCCAGGAGTTGTGATCGCGCCTCCAGGATAACTTGGTGGATATAAAACTCCTGGCTGCCCTGGCCGCACTCCTGGAGTGGTTACTACACCTCCAGGGTAACCAGGCGACACTCCACCAGGATATGAGACACCAGGTTGCGCTCCAGGATATGATACTCCAGGCTGCCCCCCTGGATAACCAGGTGGATATGAAACTCCTGGCTGTCCGGGCTGTACTCCTGGAGGCGTCACCACACCTCCAGGGTAACCAGGCGATATTCCACCTGGGTATGAGACTCCTGGTCGTCCTCCCGGATAGGATACACCTGGCTGTCCTGGCTGTACTCCACCTGGATATGACCCTCCTGGTTGTCCTCCCGGATATGATACACCTGGCTGACCCGGCTGTACTCCACCTGGATACGATACTCCCGGTTGTCCTGGTTGCGCTCCAGGTCGTGTTACTACACCTCCAGGGTAACCGGACGGGTAAGATACTCCTGGTTGTCCTGGTTGAACTCCAGGTCCTATCCCACCTGGGTAAGACACCCCTGGTTGGCCTCCCGGGTAACCAGGGGGATAGGACACTCCGGACTGACCTGGCTGCACCCCAGGAGTCGTTACGACGCCACCTGGGTAACCAGGTGGATACGAGACTCCTGGCTGACCTGGCTGCACTCCTGCCGTTACTCCCCCTGGATATGACACTCCCGGCTGTCCCGGTTGTACTCCAGGCGTCGTTGCAACTCCACCGGGATAACCAGGTGGATAGGAAATTCCAGGTCTCCCCGGTTGTACTCCTGGTTGACCCGGCTGTACTCCTGTTCCTGGGGGTACCACTCCGCCAGGGTAACCGGGATACGAAACTCCTGGTTGTCCAGGCTGTACTCCGGGAGTTGTTACTATTCCTCCAGGATAACCCGGCGGATATGACACTCCCGGTTGGCCGGGCTGCAATCCTGTGCTTGGAGGTTGAACTACCCCACCAGGATAACCAGGATACGATACTCCGGGCCGTCCTCCAGGAACAGTGTGTGGATACGACACTCCTGGAGTTCCAGGGATTACAACCTCTCCAGGTCCAGTGATTCCGGGCAAACCCGGCCGTACGTATTGCCCTGGTGGGACGACACCTGCGTAACCTGGGTAACCCGGACAGTCTTCGCAGGAACCACCTAATGACATACTCTGCGCTTGGCCCATTCCACTCGTCCCGCCTGGAAAATATCCATTCGCTTGTTCGATTCCATAATCAAATTGAAGCAGGCAGTGATTGATGAACATTTGGTTAATTGATAAATGAATATTGAAAACCAATTTTCTGATTTGTATATATTTTTATTGTGTTTGTTTAATAATAAGCTTACAAAAGTTAGTTTTTTAATGCAACATGAGGTATATTTGTAATTAATAATTCATTCCATTTTAGTTCAATTATTTGGATTATTATAGCATTCCTAGTCAAACGTGAGGAACCCTAGAACTCACTGACAACTGCCCGTGAACTCTGATCTGTAGCCTCGGCTTCAGCTTTTCCCTCTTTAGTCGCATCTTTGCCAAGATTCAAATATTGCGACTGTGTTTGACCGCGGAATCTCCCGCGCACCTGTCGACGTGCCCTCGCAAATTCGGAATTTTGCTTTTCGCGTTCTTCTAGGATAATCTCACGTTTTGCCCGCGTTCTCAAGGGCTCCAAAACAACATCCACTACGCGCTTTTGTACTATGTCATTCTCGTCGAGAGGAATTTCGTTGAAAAATGGATCTTGGTTCTCGCTGCGAGCTGGGCGATTCTCCTCGACCAGTATTATCTTTATTCCATCGCAGAAGTCTACGATTCTACCTCCCGCCAACTTCCAGGCCTGTAACATCAATTTCTATTCGTGAGAAGTCCCTGAAGAGTTGATAACAATAGTTGTAGAGTTGTAAAGGTTATTACCTCGACTCTCGTTAGATCCAGACCAGACGGGAAAACAATTTTACCGCGATTATTCGTCGTAAAATGCCATTCCTCATTTTTTCCGTTGGATTTTCTCAAAAAACAAATCTCTGATTTAGAGTTCCGTTGCCTGAATGCTTCATATTTCTGGAATTAAAGTGGATGGTTATTTCAACTGCACATGAAAATGCAAGAGACTGTTAATATGTATATGTTATTTATTTATATGATTCTGGCAGGAGAGGAAAGAATGAGCTCACACGGCAAAAAAACGAGAAATTTTCTCAAAAAATTACCGGGCTGTAGAGTAAAGTGGGCTCCCAGCACCGAAAAAAATCCGACACTGGCAGAATAAAAACTGATTAGCCGTCCAGCTAATCAGTTTTTATTGATTGATAGCTGATTACCGTTCGGTAAAAATGAATTGCTATTCCGGCGAAAATTCTCACACATACCGTAAAATTTCTTAGCGCCAGTATGTAATTTTATCACACCGGTAATGTTTCATACAATCTATCAAAGAGTCATAGTTCCTCTCATTTTACAGTGGTGAACTAGAAATTTCATTGAGATGTTCAAATTAGAAATTTTATAGTTCAGCTATAAAATTTTTACTCTGTTACTCAATTTGTTTCAATTCGTCATTCTTCTGAGGACATTTTAACATTCCGTTGGTTGCGCTTATGAGCGTCGCGCCGCACTATTTCCGATTTTTTAAATTACACTGCTGTAAACCTTCAGAAAAATGTGAAAAAATTTGACATCTCATTTTGAAATCTCTAGAAGCCCTATCAACGAAAATGTCCGCCAATAATATCATAAGTAGTTGGATTCTCCAACTTTTATTCCGAAACTCCGGGCCGTGTGCTAGGTACACTGAGAAAAAAAAATATTTTTGCTAAATATCCATTTACTTGAGAGAATTAGTACATTACGTAACTAGTGCGGAAAGCAGGCGGTTACTCACGCGGGCGGCACGGCCGCCTGAGTGATACCGCCTGCTGTCCGCACGTGTTGCGTATACTATTTTATATGATAAGTGCGTGATGAAGTTTGGGAGTGGAGGGAGGGGGGCGAGTGGGGGCGAAGCCCCCCACAAAAAAAGGGGGTCCAGGGGGCGAAGCCCCCCCCCCACTAAAGAAAAAAGATCACATCTATTAAAAAAAGTAATTATAAAAAGTGTGATTGAAAAATTTCATTTTCGTTACTGAATTCTCAATGACTTATCACTAATTTCTAGAAATCAATCACAAAATTTCAGTGAAGTTACGGTGAATTCTGTGACATGTCTCTGAAAAGCAAAAATAATTTTTCTCTGTGTTTCCTTGACATTATTTTGATCATTAGAATTCAATAAAGCCCTTAAGTTACAATATTTGATCGAAGAAAGAGTTTTTGGCGATCCTGCTGTTGAAAAATGAATAATCATTGGAGGAGTTCATCCAAGATCATGTGCAACATTCTCATCCTCTAGAGCCACATGATTGTTGTAATTGCAAGTTCCTCTGAGAATGACTCGATTGAAGAGTTACGATTTTGAAAAAATAATTGCTTCTCTCAAGTAAATGAATATTTGGCAAAAATAATTTTTTTTCTCAGTGTATAAGGCGAATTTTTCGAAAAATATGGCAACTTTGAGCTTGAATATATAATTAAGGGTAACACTGAACATGAAAAATTTCACGGGACTTGTTCAGGTGAACGATCTAGGTTACTCTTGATTTTTTTTTCAAATTTTTCCCAGAACTTTCAAATTTATCATTAAGTTGATTTATGCTGGTGCGGCGTGGCGCTTACGGCGCGACCAACGGAGTGTTCATATTAATTATGAAAAAGTGCAACTTCTCATATATTGAATTCAAGTCATGATTTAATACTCACCGTTTCCTCATCAACATAAGCCTCAACGTCTGAATTCTGAAGATCATTTTGACCCACAGAACGATCGAATCTCGTTTTTTCTTGAATCTCACTTGGATACTGTGAATGGAGAACAAAAATGACTTAAAGTAGTGTAAACATAGCTTAAATTTTGAAGATGAAAATCTGAAATAAATTCTAAACAGAAGTTGATATGAATAAAAACATTTTGGTTCAGTTCGTGCTCAATTGGCAGTCTAGTATTATTGATAGTAATTAATTCAGAAGTGGCAAAATAAGACAGAGTCTTATGAGAAATAGTATATTTCTAAACTAGGGAGGTAAAATAAAGTCGTACAGAATTAAGTGGTAAGCGCGTGGATAAGGGTCCCTTATTCCATCTCCCGTGGTTAGAACGTTCTCTATTTTTCGCTCCGTTCAGTATTTGTCGTTTCAGCGTAGGCACAAAGACAGATTTTTTTTAAATGTGTATTTTGTGCCCGCCAGAGTAAAAATGAATTTTTTTAGATTAAAGTAACTCTAGCCTTACGGTAAATTCAATGATTATTGAAAACTGCAAAAAAATTGCAGAAAACTCGATTAGATTCGGAATTCTATTTTTTTTTCAATTTAATTATCGTTTTGGTTTTTCAAAGAAGAAATGTTTAAAAATCAGGATTTAACTCAGTGTGTTATATGAAAATCAACATTTCCATTGTAATCAAAGATTAAAATCTGAATTTTTTTTTTCATTAGATGTGAAAAAATCAAGAATTTTTTTGACATCTCATAATAGTATATTTCGTTACGAGTGCGAAAAAGAGTTTTTTGCCAAGTTTGAAAAGAGTTTTTGCTCGCCTTTGGCTCGTGCTATAAACCTCCCACGAGCTAAAAAACACTTTTCCCACGAGTATCGAACGACATTTTTGTGATGAAAAAAATAATCGACCATTTTGCAAACAAGTTTTATTATTTATTTATAAGAGGGAAATGTTTGAAAAAATATCAATATTTTGCGAATTTAATTTAGAGTTCAATCCACCTACGCCTTTGCACTGAGAGAAAAATATAATTCTTCTGACTATATTCCATCACCATCGAATTTGCTACTGACTGGGTATGAATTTTTTCAAATTTTTTCCATGCAATTTAGTTGAAAAATTTTAAAACTAAAAATATCCAAAAGTATTGCGTAGCCCGGTCGAAAGGCAGAGCTGCTTTAAAGCGCAACTTAAAATGTAGAAAAAATGTTTTAAAAATCAGAAAAAAATCAAGAAATGCCTAATACAAAAATTCTCCTCTGTGTCACACTCTTGCAATGAATAATTTATGTTTCTGGTTACCCCAAATGTAGAGGATGCCCTGGTCAAACAAGCACCTATTGTTGAAGAAAATCATCGTAGAGAGAATTTGATAAATTAATTTTTTACTCTTGTCAAAGTTAGAATTCATGTGAGAAATCATCAATGATGAATAATTTTTTTCCAGACATTTTAAATTTATTTTTCCTCGCTACACTCAACAACTTATGAGGAGTTCGCATATACTACTTTAAGCTCAGGGAAATAGTTGAAGTAGGTCAACTTATCGGATGAACTGTGACCCCCGAATCTTTTGGGGATCTCATTGCGCGTATTGTGACATTAAAGTTTCATCCAAAAACAAAAAAATCTTGTCAAGAACTACTCTCATTACTGATAGTCTATTGCATTACGAGTGCGTGAAGTTGCATTTTGCCGTGCTCACATGTAGCACTGTGTACTTTCCGTAATAGCTGCTGAGGTAAGGTATTGGAGGGGGAGGGGCTTAGAGTATTTGTTTTGTATTTGTAAAGTGAACTTGTGTGTGTAAAGCAAAGCCTCACTTTACGCATAGCTACTGAATTTTATGCGTTCCATGACTCAGTCCAACAAAATGCAAGTATTGACCTCTCAGGAATGTTTATCAAAATTAAAGTAAAGAATGCATCAAGTCTAGTAAAAATTCCCGAAATGTATTATGATCTTGAAAGGCATGTGTTACGCCTATGATTAAGAAAAATAATTTATGATTAAGAAGCATCAAGTGTCGTAACTTTGAGGAAATAAAATAGTCAAGTTATTGTATATCCACGAGCTCTTATGGGATTTGTTTTCAAATTGATAATTCACCTACTAGATACTCCAGAAATAACAATGAGAATGGAGCTCAATATGAAAAAATACACTGGCCAAGAAAATATCTAACGTACTCACGTAAATAACGCGTACATTCGATGAATTTTGGAATAATCAACTTAGATCGGTGGATTAAAATTTTTATCAACGTGAAAAAGATAACTCTGTCCATGAGTTGAGAAAAAACTTACTGTTTTTTGAGTGCTAGGGTGTTTAGATAAATATCCTTGATGAAATGTTTTTTTTTCATGGAAAGTTCACTTCACCTATGCCTTTGTAATGGCTCTAGACTAATCTCAATTGATTAATTTGCTCCTAAGTTATGAACCTACCAAAAATCATTCAAATGTGTTCATTTTGTCCCACGCTACCCTACTACACTGTTAGAAAATTACTCTCGAAATTTCAAGTGAAACAGCTTGAAATTTTTAACGACGAAGTTACATGAAATTTTCGTATATTTCTTCATTGACGATTCAGTTCATTTCTTGAATATTCAAGTAATTCACAATTTCCAGAACATTGAAAATTTTAAAGATTCAGGCAATAACTTTTCTGAATTCTCAATCTATTGAAAATTCAATTATATGTGATGTTTAATTTTCATGACTTTTTTGCAAATTCAAGCTTTTATTGAAATCAATCAATGATTGTTGAACATGAGAAACCCAATTTTCTTGAATTTTCAAGATGAATGACAAATTTAGTGAACGCTTTCATTTGAAATGAATTCAACCTCCCAACATCGAAAATTCACCTGACGCTGTGACTGGAATTTCAAGAAATTTCTAAGTGTAAAAGTCGGGGCTAATGTTTTATAGATTTTTCTCTCTCTGCACTTTTTCGCGTGAGAAGCGGGATTTCCCGCACGCATTGCAAAGCGATAATATTTATTTGACACTCATTGAAAAATGTTTGGCCCATGAAACGTGAGCAGACTTCTCACAAACCTAGTACCATTTTTTCTGATTCGCGTGAGAACTACTTTTTTCAGGCAGGCATTCCAAAAATGTCTTGAAAAAATGAAAATGCAATAAACCAAATTCAATAAATCCTTTTCTAATTGAGAAATGATAGAAGCACTTACATGGTGTCTTCCCAGGGTGGTTCCCGACAGGAATAGGACGACAGCGAGTAGGTACCGCATGATGATATCGTCGGACGGCGATGCTCCTCGACACTGCCAATCCGTCGAGTCTCGTCGCCGACCTAGAGGTGTTTGATATCCACTCCCCCACTCTCGCATGTCATCGAATACCCCTCCTATCACTTCTCGATCAAGGCGCCAGTGGGGAAATGAAGAGAAAAAATGTGATGGGAAGATCCCAAGAAGAAGTGAGAAATGATATGTAAAATAAAAAATTCTTAGAACCGTGGAAGGGCGTCTGGACATCGTGATTCGTCGCCTCCGTGCTTGCATGCGTGTTCAAATATTGGATGTCATTTCTCCCTCGATGTGATCACCACTGTCTTGGACTCATTAGAAAACGCAAAAACTGCTCGCTCAATGACAAATCGGCTGACACGGCGTTAAATCACTTTCTCGGAAATCAATACCGACAAAAGCATCGAAATTCCTGATAATGCAGAAAACCAAAGGCCTCGAGCAATTTCCTTTTTTTGTAGAGCTTTTTTTGTAGTCAAATATCTGGACCAATCAGATAATTACCGACAGTCTAAACCCAATAATTCTCCCCTCTTGATGCCCCAATTAAATCACATCCAATTCATTAGCTGAGTATAACGCTGCGTTTGTTTGTCCACGTGCGCTGGGAAAGTAATTGCGTAAATTCACTCAATATTTCACTTCAACGATGTAAGTTTCGATTTGAAAAATTAGAACTCCACAGACTCTGTATCAGTTCATTTCGACCCTGTACTGAATTGCAGGTTTATCAAACTTTAGATCAATTTCATCATTTCAATCATTTCCAATTTTTCTTTGTATTTGTAGAAAGATGAGTCTCGACGATTAATACAGAAAAATAACTATATTATACGCGGGGGGGAGGCCACGAACCCGGGCCCCGGGGCGGGTTCACTTCCCGGTTTGGGCGCCAAATTGGTGACACTTTTCAATTGAGGTTTTCCCTTGTCCTTCGGCGACTGCGGCACAGGGGGTTGGGTGATGCGAAGGAAACAGACTGTACAGAAGACGAACCGTAGTGATCATGAGAGGAAGATTCTGTCCACATGTCAAGTTTTTATCTCGATTTTTGAACCTAGAGTGATTACAAAGTTTTTCATGAAAAAAATAGAAAAACCGGAATATGTCGAAAACTTTGTATAAACGGATGTATATGTTTTGATTAATTTAGATAGAAGGCGGCGAGAAGAATATTTTGAAAACAAAAAAATCGAAATCGAACAATTAGTTTTGAAGATATTTGCGGAAAACGATTTAAAAACGAATCGTTCTTTCTCAAAAACTATTAGATCGATCAGGCTGAAATTTTGTACCGAGTTAGTTCTCATTAAGACCTGTAATCTGACGAAATTTCAGATTTGTTGGAATTACTTTAGCTACTTAATTACTCAATTTTCTAAAAATTAACCACCGGGAAAGTTGCGGTGGAGTTGCTTACACACAGACATGGTCGCCGAAGACTATTCTATATTATTTCCAATCAAAATTAGAGAATGTGAAAATTGGACGAGTACAATGCTTCCATTTGGATGAAGCTGAAACTACCAAAAGATTCGCCAGCGGCAGATTCGTTTTAGGCAAATGTAGTGGCATACAAATAGTTTCAAGTAATGTACAAACTCTTACGCACTTTTAAAAAACATTTGTACATATGATGATTTGACTCTCACACTTTTCAAAATCCCCTAAATTGAGTCTTGCGCTGGCGAATATTTCGCTAGTTTCAGTTTGATTCCAGTCGGAAACAAAAAATTTCGAATATCTGACACTTGAGATAAGTAATTTGTTTTCCATCGCTTAATTCTCCCAGGCAACGAGAAAGGTCTCATGCTTTACAATATTCGTGTACCAAAGTATGATTTTGTCGCAAATGAAGTCTCTCAAATCGCGTAGAAGAATCGTCAATCTTCATTGTTTTTATAATTTTTTTACGCACTTTCTATGTTTCGATATGTAATATATTAAGATGTAACACGAAACGATAGTGATAAATGAGGATTTATTCAGGTTCCGTAAAGCGCAGACATTGTGAGATTTAAGCCATAGAAAATAATTTACTTCTCCCAAGTAAATATGTTCTGCATATATTAGGAAATTTCCCTCTCAGTTTAACTCCTCACGGATGGAGCCCTTCTGTTACCAAGCGTAGTGTGTGTTCGATACAACTCGATTTCGATTATTTCTAATGAACGGAAAGTTATGAAACCGGCATGTAATTGAAGCTTCAGTATTCCAGTTTCCAATTTGGTTTGTCTGATCAAGTTACTCTTCATAAGTTTGAAAATAATGAGTTTTTGAACACAAGCGTTCACATTTGTATGGGTCGATACCATGCATCGACCCCGTATGTGAGGGGTTAAAAACTCAAAAGAGTATATGAAAAGGGGAAAAAAATTTAAACGACCACCAATTACCAAATATTATTCCTTTAATCATCGTGACTTATGTACAATATCTACAGCAGATCTAAAGTGCTAAAAAAAACTATGCTACATTTTTTGGGAATGCTATTTACAATTAATAATGACTAGGTATTAAACATCCTCCAACTGATCAACAATTCTTCATCCTCACCGAGTTTTCACCCCCCTCCCCCCACATTTATTCCCCTACAGCTAGATCCCTAAAGAATTACCAACGTCCCGCACTGTTTCACCAAACGTAACTCTCGTGGTAACTCGGAGTCAGTCGGTAAAATCGAGTATAGATCTTCATAAATTCACACCCACCAACGAGAGATGTCTTGACAGTGATTGGTACGTGGCTCGACTAGTTTAAACACTCGGTAACATTGTCGAAACTATTCCATTCAACAATAATACATAAAGAAAAACAAAAAATAGAAATAGAACTAAAAATTTCTTATGTTCTCACAGAACGAAAAAAAAAGAGAAATCATTAAACATAGAATCATTAGCTGCCACTGAAGAGCACGATTATTGAGTACGAAATTAGTATTTAAGTACACATCAGGAATTTATGTACAAACGTTTCCGGAGTAGACTATTAAGGCACATGAATTCACAATTAACTCTGATAATCTTATCTACATGGTCCCTATGGAGGATGCTGGAATCTGCAGCACAGGATCATCCAAATTCTCTTGAGAGAAAACTACTATGACTTTTAAAAGTCGCGGGCGATTGGAGTGAGATTTCCCATGCATTGAAGATGGATTGTATATATCTAAAAACAAATAATTAATGCAAAAAAAAAATTGTTTCTTAGTCGTTTTCCCACGCACGCTTAAAATCTTAAAAATAGTCTAGGGTCTTCAACCTTTGAGCTAAACAAATGTTTTTTTTTCAAAATATTTGAAAAAATGTGTACAATAACAATTACGAATTGGTTTTTTGAAATTCTCCTCCTACGTAACTCATTTCATTTTGATTTGAACCATTTATGAAAAATTTGCACCATTTATGTAAAATAGACAAAAAAATTACATTATAATATTTAAAATATATTTTTGATTCTTTCAGAAACATTTTCTGGGCTACTTTACATGAATGATGTAATTTTTTATTAAAAAATTGCAGACGGCTGGATTTTTGATACAGCTGTAACTGTACGTGGATACGTCCATAGTCTTCCCTTCTTTCTCTAATTTCCTGGAAACTCCTTGCATTCCCTCGAATTTTCTAGAATTCCAATAGGTGGCGCTGCACATAAGGATCGTTTCCCAAAATGACCCTCCATATTGAAACCATAGACGTATCCACGTAAAAAAAAACAAAATTAGCTATGTAGGAGAAAAAAAAACTTCTGTAGCTCAAAAATTGGAGGCCCTGCAATGTTTTTAACATTTTAAGCGTCTGTGGGCAAACCAACAAGAAACAATTTTGTTTTGCGCCAAGTATTGATTTTTGAACATGTATAATCGATCTTCAATGGGTGAGAAATTTCACTCCAATGGCGCGCGACTTTTGAAACTCACAGTAGTCTCCCCTTAAATTAGTGAAAAAAGCATTCACTTCCTGCGCTTGGAATCGAGTTGAGAGTTATTTCCCTACATATTTTCTAAGCAATGGCAAGATTCAGACTGATTCCACTGGGCCTCGTGAATGCCGAGGCCCTCGTTGGATCGGAAAAATCGAGGGCCGATGATTTACCAACTGGTACACGCCCAGGCACATGTTCTGGATTCGATGAAATCACTGATGTCCTGATGACCATTCGCGTCATCATATCCGACTGTTTATCCTCCTGAATCTCTCGATACTGTCGTTTCGGTTGGGGCGATGGTATTGTGATCGGTTGGCTCGTTTTCGTGTGTCGAATTATGTTCGAAAATATCACGGGTGATGAGGAGGTCTCGATTACTGCTGGTCGAGACACAATAACACTGATTGGTGAGGATGTTGGAACTGTCGATGTGGCAATTTTCACATCTTCTTTAGTCTCGGTGATAGAGCGCTGGTGGGAGCGCATGCAGGATGATTCCTCGTGTTTGTAGAGGTACGACTTCAGGGCGAAGGCTTTCCCACATCTTCCACAAACGTGGGGCTTCGTGTTGGAGTGCGTTTGGACGTGAGCGCGGAGGTTTGATTTGTCGGCAAAGGCTTTATTACAGATTGTGCATTTGAAGGGTTTCTCACCTAAATAAATAACAAGTGGAATTATTAGTGCTCATTCTAATAGACTGAGGGTGAGAACTAAATGAAATCATCAAGATTTATTGGAATAGGGGTCTGGGATCAATTTTTTTTCTTTTGAACTGATATCTCCCACTGATATTTTTTATATAAATCTAGGGGGCTACGCCCCCTGCTCGCTCCTCTCGCCGCCCCTATATGACTCCCATGATCGTTATCCCTTGTGACCCTTAATCTGGCCCTCGTGACCCTCATTCTGACCCTCATCATACTCCTCGTATGACCCTTCTTCTGACCCTTAATTTTGGAGTCTTAATTTTGTGTGCCAAATTTTCATCACCAGAAGTCGATCTCAATTTTTATAATATAGAAAAGAAAGATATAGAGACCCTTATTTTGACCCTTGTGACCCTTAGTTTTTGACCCTTGGTTTTTAAGCCCCATGACCCTTATTTGAACCTTTACACTGACCCTTGTGGCCCTTAAAGCAATCCTTGTGACCCTTATCTAGACATTTAATCTGACCATTGTTACCCTTATTTGGACCCTTAATCTAACCCTTGTGACTCTCAAACTTGTGACCCTTGTGACTCTTAATTGGATCCATATGACCCCTTCCTGATCGTCATGACCCTCATTTTGACCCTCGTAACCTTTATTCTAATCCACATGACTCTTATTTTGACCCTCGTGACCGTTGTGACCTTTATTTTCGGAGTCTTAATTTTGAGTACCTAATTTTCATCACCAGAAGTCGATTTGGATTTTTATAATATAGAGAAAAACCACAGTAGGATCCCAAAAAAATACTTTTTTTTTATTTATAAAAAAATGGGAAATTGTAAAGCCACAACCAATTATGAAAACTCCGTACTATAATATTCCAATACAAATGTTTGCGTTTGTAAAAGCATTAACTTTTTGTATAAAAAAATTCTGCTTTCATTCGCGACAATGACAAAATCCCAGCAAACCCCCAATTAACCGTAGGTTGGTCACCCTATGAGAGAAACCCTGCCGCGCGTCGTTCTTCTTTAATTACAATTGATTGGTTAACCGGAAAAATTCAAAAAAATTTGACTTTGTCATTTGAAGTATTCAAAAAAATTATAGTAGTTCATAGAACAACATTTCCCAAAATTCCTGAAAAAAACAAATGATTTCGGACAGAGGAATTATTTTTTCCACTGTTAAACGAAATTGCCCATGACGCGACGTTGCCGGAAACTCGCTAAACGCGCCCGCGCAGTGTAGAGTGAATTCGGCAACGCGAGGGCCTAAATAACACGGCGGGGAATCCCCGCGGAGATGACCAGAGTCGCCGGATCGCGTGTGGTGACCAGCCTAGGGTTAAACTCAGTAGCGAAGCGGTAAACTGTGTCAAGTCGATTTTGATTATTGGCCAGTTTTTTACGAATATCTCGGAACCTAAAAGAGATGGAAAAACTTTGTCACGATCTTTTTTGTAGAGCCAATCGAGGGTTATGAAAAAGGTCGTGACAAAAATTTTTCCATCTCTTTCAGATTCCGAGATATTCTTCAAAAACTGGCCAAAAGTAAAAACGCCTTAACCCCGTGTACCGATACTGAACTCATGATTCGATACTGAACTCATGATTGATTTCGAATTCGACTAAGTGAATCATCAATTTACCCGTGTGTGTTCTGATGTGTCCCTGCAGCAGCCACGGTCTCGAGAAGCATTTACCACAGTAATGACACTTGCACCCTTGATTGTGCGTCCTCACATGCATGCTGTATGCCGGCATGCTGACATAAACTTTGTCACAATGGGGGCACCTCCTCGCCTTTTTGTCCGCAAGCGAGCGATGCGTTTGTCTATGTCTCGCGAGATTTGAGGACGTTGAGTATTTCTTCCCGCAGTCAGGACACTCGTGCTCCTCAGCGTCATCAGTTTTAGAAGAGTCCGATTGTACCGAAGAAATTCTTCGCACGGGGGGGCTCTGGGGTTGATTACTCAGTATTCTTCTGGATTCTTCCGACAACTGTGGAGATCTCAAACAAGTCCGACGGCTTCTAGCTTCCAAAAGCTCCCTCTCGCTCTCGATTCTCTCGAAAAATAATCGCGTTCGTTCTCTCAGGCTCAAATCAGAGGCCTCGCCGATGTGAATTCCCTGACGCAGGCTCGCTGTCTCCTCCGAGATAACTCTGTACTTGTCTAGATCCTTCATGTCAGCTGTCCAACGTGGTGACGCTGAACGATGGTGAATAACATTGCTCGGATGAATTAGAGTACCAGCGGCAGCTGCCAAACTGACTTCTGCCAATTTCGTCAAGTTGTAGAGTTCCTCGGGGCATTCTGATGACGTCTCACTGGCGCAATCACTCACACCGTCCGAGGTTGGCTGATTAGAATTGTACTCGGGGATCCTCACACCTCGTTCAGGACTAAAACCTGTGGATTTAAGAGCAATAAATCACGTCTTTATTGACCAAAACACTCGTCAGCTCAAGCTTGCACACCTCAGAAGAAACAGAAATAGCGCCCAATGTTCTGCGTTGTTCAAAGAAATGACGCACGAGTCCAGAAATTTGTGAATCGAAAAATGAAGAGATTCGGTGCAACTCACCTCTGATATTTTCCTCAAACTCCTCAGGTCCGTTGTACCTCCTGTGAGTGATTAAAAAAGCTCGTGGCATTTTTTTATACAGTTGTAGATTCAGGTAATCAACAGCACATAACACTTGACACCAAACACCACAAATTCATTTATCGATGAGATGTTTGAATTTATTTCAATAAACTGTGGATCAAGGGGTTTATGGAAAAATCACGGTACTGAGACAAAAGGGTGGGTACTTGTTAACGTCTGGCAAGTTTGGGAGGAAATAGTTGGTCCGGCTATGATTCGGGGCTACATATAGCCGAAGCCAGCCTCCCTCGTGCCTTATCCCCCACCCTTCTTCAGCTGCTGCTCTACCGTTGTCGTCGGCACACACCACGCGCCCTAGCATGTGCCACCGAGTAGAGGAATGTCCCCTCTGTCGCTTCACCCTCTCTCCTACATTTCTGCTGGGTTAAAACGTGTGTTTTACGCTTTTGGATCGTTTTGGACTGCCACCACGAAGATCGACTGGCACTGGTATGTGTCCACCCTCAATCGCATGTATTCCTTCTTCTTGGCTGTCTTGGGGCACAAAGGGCAGCTGGATGGAACCCCACTCGATCCCTCATAATGTGTACATTTTTTTTGCCATCATTCAAGATGAATTTTGGCAGCAACGGGTGATGGGGGGCACGTCTAAATAACTTAGCGACAAAAAAACTCTGTCGTGGACCCGGATGATGGACATTTCGGGATTTATCGTTGCAATTTTTTTAGGGAAATATGACAACTTTTTATCCATCTTCTTATCTTAGTTGAGTTATGTCTTCACAGAGGTCAATACATTTCGCAAATGCAGACGTATCTCGCTATCATTTCCATTTTATTTCATTTTCATCGCATTTTTATATGGACTCGACAGCACAAAGGTATACAGGATCAAATTTATATTGACAATTCGTTTAACAATAAATTAAACTATAAACTTTGAGGCAATATATTAATTATTGAAATTATCTTCAATGTGTACAGGACTAAAATTTATTGCTATTTCTATTCATTATTAGATTAATTATTCTGTTTCTTCCTTATTCTGTTTTTTTACAATCAATTCCATGGAATGAGGAGAATCATCCAATGTTAGAAGTGGCGCGGTAATCACTCGAAAGTCAACGAATTACAAATTTTTTTCCTCTGATAAAAAAAATAATCGTAGTTTAATCTGTGATTTTCGTTGTAAAATTATTAATAAAATAAGCAGAGGTTTGAGCCTATCCGACAGAAGGGATGTGACGGTTACTTTTTGCCTTATTAGTCTATTTCTTTTTTTTCTAGCAATTCCATTGGTAGGAAGCTTCTGAATGGATTCGTAGCAATTCCCTGTCCTTATGACAGATATACAACCGTAACCACATGCTACAGGATGTCTACAGTAAGATATTCAATCTTTTAATGAAATAGATTTATACAAAAGATTAAATATCTCCGAAACCCCTCGGCCGGTTGAGCCCATCAAAAATATTAATCTTCAATATTGTTAGAGCTATATCGTTATAACGATACCAAATTTCAACTTGCTATTTTCATTTTTTCTGAAAATATCCTACGTACAAGAATGACAAAATTGAACAAACGAAAAAACGGGAATATCTCGGAAACTCTGTATGAACGGACATATATATATTTTGAAAGAAAAATTGAATTTCGTCAAGTACGTTACACTTACATTACATTTTATTGCAGATAAGATTGTTAAACATCCTTGCAAAATTAGAGAGACTGTTGGTACAAGGAGGTGTCTTAATAAATAACAATAAAAAGTACATATCACATGATAAGATCGCATAATTCTTAACACTGGGCCATACAATTTGAAACACAATTGATTAACATAAGTATAAAAACAAACCGGCGACCGTAAGGTGCGGGTTCGAGTCCGGCTTGGGGCAATTGCGATTTTTAATCTTTCGGAAACCGTTGAACGGAAGTCTAGACACCGAGAATCATCGGAGAAGTGTTAAGAAAACATTCTCCGATGAAGCTCGGTCGATGGACGCCCGTATTGACCAAGATTTTCCATGGTTTCCCTTCGTCACCAGGAGAGTCTGTACGTGGGGTACAGCTCCCGAGGTACAATGCGACACGGTTGCAGAGGAAGTCGGCCCATGAAAACCGCAAAAAAACATGTAAAAATCCGAATAGGGTATATATGGCAATAAATAAAGAAAGTATAAAAACAAACAAATTACGCTATCTTAAGGAGTTCCGCCGCTTTGCACAAGGACTTAAGAATTTTTTTAAAATCAAAAATCGAACTAGAGGATAGCAAGGACTGCCAGCATGAAATAGGCGAGTAGTTAGGCCCTAAGATAGACTCCCGAGGGGGGTCCAACTGGAAAAAACATTAGAAAGTGAATTAAATCATGGAAATCGAGTGCGTTACATAACTCACATGGTTCGTCAGTCATCAAGTCAATCCGTCAAGTAGTTCATGACATATTGGAAGAAATATATTTACACAAAAGGTTGTATATCTCAGGAACCGGTCGGTCGACTGCGCCCATCCAAAATACTAACTTTTAGTATTATAAGAGCTAGAACCATACCAAATTTCAACTTGCTGTCCCTTTTTTTCTCAAGTTATCATGCATACAAGATTTTTCATGACAAACAGAAAAACGGCAATATCTCTCAACTGTGTATTAAAGAGTCTACATATTCTGATTGACTTACATAGAGGCCATCGAGACGAGTATTTTGAAAAAAAATTTGGAAATTGGTGCAGTCGTTTTTGAGATATCAAGGACAAATGAAAATTAAACAAGTTGTATCTCAGGAACTACTGCACCGATCAGGCTGAAACAGCGGACCAAAGTTGAGCTCAATAAAAGCCACAATGAACCAAAATTTCAGATTTTTATCTACAAATTCCACCGTATTTATGTTGAATTTTTTAAAAATTAATCACTTGTAATACCACAAGAGCTTCAAAATTATCGGGTATTTTCCGATAGGTTCGATGCGAACAAACGAAGGAGTCAAGTTTTTCAGGTTAAAGATTTTTCCTGAAAAACTTGACGACTTCGTTTGTATGCAGGGAACCTTGAGGAAAATGCCCGATTAATTTTGATGCTCGTGTGGTATTCGGGGGATTATTTTTCCAATCCAAATGTCGGGCAATATAATTGGACCATGAGACGAAAGTCAAAATTGAGAAACGAAAATTGTATAATATTGTATGCATAATCTTTCAAAATATTAGCCAATTGCTCTTCACTCGTGTCAGCACTCAAACGTATAGTTCCTCTCATCACAAAAACTGGTAAATTGATTCCAAATTGTCTTCTTCGTTTTCTCCGTATTGACGGGAATATTCCCCTTCACTTTTTTATCAATGATTTTCAGGGAATGAACTCCGAATCTACTCATTTCGAATAAAAATCCTCGGATTACCACAATTGAATTCAATCTGTCAATTTGACGAGGGGTTAATTTGACTGCATGATGTTTTGTTTTTTATATAGCAACTACCAGAGAAAATTATCAAAAAATTATCACCAAAAACCCAAGTTGCCGAAAACATACCTACAAACATGACCTTAAAAACATCATTTCTTCACGTTCCAAAATATTCCAGACCATTTGCAATCAAAATTAGAAAATGGAAAAATCGTACAAAAACAAGGCTTCGAAACAAACAAGGAAACAAATCACGTGCGCAAAGTTCCGAGTTCAAATCCCGGTCGGGTAGACTGGTGAGATCTAACCACTTTAAAATCTTAATCATCATCGCAATATATTCAACCGATTTGAAGCGATGTAAAATAACAATAAAAAAAATTCGGAAACAAAAAAGAAAAATAAAGAATTATGTGAAGAAATTTAGACTTGAAGAAGACAGATCTAATTCACACCACACACAGAGTGGTGATCTACATCATCACTCAATGAAAAATCATTATTTTGAAAATCATAAATAGCCCCAATCAACTCAACTTCTCCAACCACTTCGTCCTCCTTTGAGCGTCTTGAAAAAGCGTTCCATTAGATTCTTCATCAAGAAGAAAGTGTTTATTTCTGAAGTGAGTCATAACAGATTTAGTTCTTCGACGCTTCCCATCGGGTTTTCCAGTGAAAATTGAAATAGTTTGGGTGGAGTTGAGTTAAATGCATTGCTGAGCAGTCGATTATCGTAGTGGGGTCTTTTGGTCGTCGATTGAATGAATGCCACGCGGGTTAGTCAGCCTCCGCGGTGCTAAATTCGGCAATGGTCTGGCGCGATGCCAGAAGAACCACCCAGCGCACCAACCTGTGGTGTCTTCGACTTCCATCCAACCGTTAAAACGTATGCAGAAATCTTTTAACTTGACGCTCAAAAGACCCTCCTATGTCTGCCCAATAAATGTCGTTTTAATCATTTGATGTACTACCGGCAGTCTCAATCATCATGAGTTCCCGCATGAAGAGAATCAAAGTGTCTGAAAGTTTCCACTGGTGTCATCAGTTGAATACCGAGGACAGACTCTAGGTGCTATTGGAACAGGTGTCCAACGCGTATCGACGTCGTTTGCCAAAAATAAAAGAGCAACTTGCTTTTGACGCAAGTCGAAACGTCGAGACTTCCTGCCTCAAAACACAGAATAATTATTTATACGATTTACCAAAGAGTGTCTCTACATTCTCCCTAATGGGGTTTTTAGCTTCCAATATCTTCATTTAGCTTTTCAGATGGGGAAGACAGTTTTTAAAGCATCAAAAAAGCTTAAAGACTCCGCTAACATAAGTGATTGTTTCCAAAGATACCAATCTTTGGTCGCGTGTCGAGACACGTGGATGGGGGAAAAATCCCCGGAAACGTCTGGTTCCTCCAGAAAATAACAACTTTCCCCCCCCATTTCTATACTCGGCTAATACTTTCGCCTCGAAAAAAAGTGGAAAATTGTCGCGGAGGGAGATGAGGTAGTCGTATTTAAATGCGTGATATTTGGGTGGTAGCAAACACGGTTGGTAAGTGTTGGAAATGGAATTCGTGACTCGGCATGGGGTTGCCGTGGCTATTTTCAGCATCTCTGGTTGCAGCTGTCGCGTGCCTACCACACGGTTAAACCACCGACAATTGACCGGCGTACAACGACCCATCAAGTACGACGAATGTCTTTGATTTTTAATGTTCCATTGTTTTTAACGGGGAATTTTGATGATTATTGGGTGTGATGGCCATGGGGATTTATCTGGGGGAGCAGATGCCGGGGAATTTGCAC